TATATAATATATAAATAATATATATATTCAGCCACATCCTTTCTGTCTCTGGAAAGATACAAAAATAAACTTTGCATTGCAAAAGGAGCAGTGGTGGGTTGCAGGCAGTATGCCCCGGTACAGGCGTACCAGTGCTTGCTGGGAGCACCTGATACCATTCCAGTATGGTGCTCTGGAGAGCCCATATGCCCACCCGCTCTCCTTACCAGTATTTGAGCTGTTTGGGGCTTATGCGCACAGAGCCTATGGCGTCTGCGCGATGCTTCGCTGAGCAGCTGGAGTGGCAGCATCACGGGTGGTAAGTACGCATGGGCATGCTGCGCATGTTCATGTGGTGGACGCCGGGCCCCGGTGCACCGTACCGGTTGCAATGGGATCCAGAACCAATCACTGAAAAGGAGTGACTGTCAGCCTGTTACTGTACAGTGCCATGAGGTTGCCTCAAGGGGAGCTGATGGAGCTGAATCTCTCGCTCTCTCTCATTCGCTACCCAATTGCAACAGGAAAAAGCAGGCAGCCCTCTCTGTCTCTCATTTCTCTCTTTCTCTTTACCTCTCTCTCTCCCCCCTCTCTTTCTTGGATGTGTGGGTGCATGTGTTCCCTCTTGAATCATTTCCAAAACACAGGCAAGAGTTGAGGGTTGTTTTTTGTTTTTGTTTTTATTGCTGGTGTGTTTTCTTCTTCTTTGGGTGTTTTACCATATGATGTAAATCAAGAGTCATTTCAGGTTCCCCGATAAATGAAGCTCTTTAGGCCCTCTCCTGCAGCTCCCTGTCATATGATTCCAGCACTGGGTGTCCCCTCCCCCTCCCTCCTCCCCTGCCCTGAGAAGAGAAGGGTGACAGCGGTGGATGGAGACTCACTCCGTATTCCAGAGCAGAAGCAAAGCGCTCCTCTATTTGCCTCTTTTTCCAAACCTTGTTGGGAGACGCAGGCTTTTTTCCGTGCCGAGACGCTGGCAGGGCCACCTGGCTACAGCCTATGCTCCCCATTGTAATGGGCTCCAGGAGGAGGAGGAGGAGATGCATTTCCCCCATTGGGTAGCATACTAAGTTTAAGTGCAAGAGCAGCAAGCAGCCATGGTGGCAGTGAGAGGAATATGGGGCAGAGAAAGTTACACATCTCCCCATATTCCTCTCGCCGCCTCCATGGTTGCTTGCTGCTCTTGCACTTAAACTTAGCTCGCTGCACAATGGGGGAGACGGCATCCTCCTCCTAGATCCCATTATAATGCAGAACATTAGCTGCAGCCAGGCGGCCCAGCCAGCATCTCGACACGGAGAAAAGTTGTGCATCTCCCTCAGTGGCCGAGGTGCACACAGTACCAACAAGGGCCAGAAAAAGAGGCAAGTAGAGGACCACTTCGCTCCTGCTCTGGAATAAGGAGCGAGTCTCCATCCTCCACAGTTGTCCTTCTCTTCTCAGGGCAGACAGGGAGGGGAGAGGCCCCCCAGTGCTGGGATCATCTTGGCGGAGTCTCAGTAGAGGGTCCAAAGAGTCACATGCGGCTCTAGAGCTGCACATTGCTGACCTTCGTTATAAATAATATTAGTATTCTTAATAATTTATCTTTAAATCCACATCAGTTTTTTCTATGATGAATGCAAGTATAGATATAATGTTTAAATGTTTTATTTTTGTAATTAACTGCATATATTTTATTCAAAATCATGTTCTTTTAGCTTATTGCAGAGGAATTCAGCCATAAAATATTTCAGAAGTTTGGACCTCATGCTGGGCCAGGTAATATATAAACTAGGTAATTCTAACTAAATATATAACTGACTAATAAATAAATCTTTGTATGGCTGATCTCTGAGCAATTACCATAACAATGGCTTTGTGTACATAAAATATTTTATTTATCTTACATAGTTAATATCTTTAACTTAAAATCTTATTTATGATTCTTGATAATATTTGTATAAGAGAAGCTATAATTGGCCACACTTTTGTTCTTGAGATGATTTAGTAACTTTCATTACTTTATGACTTTAATAAAACTATTGCTTTACTTGGTTAATTGAAAGAGTCTTAATATAGTATATTATTAAAATAATTGCAATTCAGCATTTCATGCTGGATTTTTTTCAGTTATTCTTTTTTTGTAAGGCAAATATTAATCTTTGCTTTTTGTACATTATGGACCTTCAAATTATAAATAATTTTCCATTATTTGTCCAAGTAAGTGAATTGTATAGTTTCTCCCTGATTACAACATGCATTTAAACATTTCAGTTTTATGCATACCTCTGAAGCATATGGAAATCAGTGGGATTTATTGTATAAGGTTAGGTTAATGAATATTTTCTGAATATTCCTCTCAATAATGTTTTACTATAAACAATATTTTATCTATCCAATTTTGTACCAATATTTGACATTGTTATTCTCTCTTGCATAGCAAAGAGACCAGCCCAAGGACAAAACCTAGCCTCTGCTGCACCTGCTCACAAAATTACCAAACCTGCTGCTAAATATGGAGTGCCTTTAATACTTAAGAAATCTGGGGATTCAACTAAGAAGTTCTGTGAGAAGCCTATAATTAAATGTAGACAAGTAAGAGCCTATTTAATATTAAAAGTATTTTCAGTCTTTGTGATAGAAGAAGGGTACATTTATTGCTGAAAGTGTTTTACATTGCACTTTTCAGTGTCATAATTTCACCTGAAAATTCCCTAACAAGAATTGAAACAGTATGTAACTAGGTTTTGCACCTAGTTTGATATTGAATGCTGATTCAAAATATGTAATACACATTTCCACTGACTTTTACTTGTCTTTTATTGTAGATTAAATATGCATCATATTTGACTAAACGTATATGAATACATGTAGCTACCATGTTTCCCTGAAAATAAGACCGGGTCTTATATTAATTTTTGCTCCAAAAGACACATTGGGATTTATTTTCAAGTTAAAATGCATCTGTCTGTCTGACAGTCTTAACTGGGGCTTATTTTTGTGATATTGCTTATATTACAAGCATCCAGAAAAATCATGCTAGGGCTTATTTTCAAGGAAACAGGGTATCTGTGGGTTAATGGTTAAAACAGCTGCAAAGTAGAGCAATACTGACATTTCATCTTAGTGTCATTTTCAAATACGTTCTTATTTAAAACAGCAGTAATACATAATCCTGCCACTAAATATTCCTGAGAAGTCTAAAATACATAATATCTAAAAGCAATAGGTTCTGGTTAATTGAAACCAAGTGTTTAACTTCTAAAAGTGCAAAATAATGCAATTTGAATGGGTCTTCCTGAATATATTATGACATTATGGCAATATGGAATATATTATGTTAAATGTTCACTATTGGACCTCATACCTTTCTATTCAAAGTACAACATGGATACTTAATCAACTAACAGTTAACTATATCAAATTAGAATATGAGAAGAATAAAGTTCAGTTGCCACTAAGTTATAAGCTTGGATAAGTCATTTATTTTCAGAGTAGCATACCCCATCTGATTGATAAAAGGTTGAAAATGTGTGGATAAGAGTGTGCAGGTTGTGTGGATGTGTGGATAAGAGTGCAGGTTGATGAAACTCTTGGGAGGAGAGGGAAATTATTGTATTACACATTACCATGTTTAAATTTATAGGTTAGATCTGGTCTACCAGCAAAAATGCAAATGAGTTTGCAGGCTCTAGAGCCTGTCTGAGTTGGCATTTTCTTTAATGGCCTTTAGATATCATCAAAGTTATATTTTTGTCTAATCTGCTCATAGATACATGTTTTAATCTCCCAGTTTTTGAACAGATCAGTTATTTATTTTGATTGGGTGTTTTAGGTTGTATAATTGTTTTTAGATGCTTTGGCTGTTATGTGGTATAAATGTTTTTTTTAGAAAAGTTCTGTGCCTGAGGCTGTCAGCATTCCAAATATCATGCAGAATTAAATCAGAGTCCAAGGCAGAGCTATCTTTAAAGTTTCAATTTAATAAGACAGACATGTTGGCAACAAACTGTGGAAATCCCAATTCTGAAAACCTCCTGGGATTACAACCCAGTTGTAAGTTCATGATCTTATCCCCACACCCATAAATCCATCACATGGTCCAATCTTCTT